CCTTGTTGCTTTGGGTTTGTGTTTGCCTTTGTGTTTGTCTTTGTTTGGTTTATTGGCTGTTAGTTAGGTGTGTTGATGGACCTTAGTCTCCCTAGGCTTTGTTGCAGTGGGGAGGTTTCTAAGTTTCATTAGTTTATTTCTAGTTTGTTATTGAGGTTCTAGGCCGCTTGCAAGCGTGTCCTCTCAATTTTCGATTTGCTTTAGTTGTGATTTGTAATTAAACATTGTTCTTTTCTTTGTGTAATAGTTATCTCTATCGTTCTAAAAAAAAAAAAAAAACGAAGTTAAAAGCTTATATAGTTGCACTTGCCAATAATTTATTTTTTCTCTCTTTTTGTTTATTAATGTCTTTTTTTTTCCAAACGATAGACTTATTAATGTCTATTTTCAAATATTAAAATATTATTTTATTTGCTAATAGTTTATTTGTTGATGTTGAGGGCATGCTTGTTTATGAGTTAATTTACTCACATTTATCTCATACTTAAAATCTAATTCAATTTTAATTCAACCACACTATATTTAACTAGTACAGAGCCCGTGCGATGCACGAGGTGCATAATTTTAAGGTTATTTATCCAGTCTTATATTATATATATAAATGAATAAAAAAAATATACAGGATATATATAGTACGGGACCTGTGCAAGACACGAGATATATATATTTGGGGAATATTATATTATAAGATTCAATATTCAATAAAAGTTTAATAATACGCAGGAAAATTATACAAAAAAATGATATTCGACAAAGAAACAATCATATATTATTAAAGACCTCATTGTACATAGATATTAAATAATTTATTAGTAAAATAGTGTATAAATTGATTAAAATAACAAAACAACATGCTCACGGGATTAGTAAAAATCTCCATGGATTGAAGATTTAATGGGATTAAATATTTAAATTAATTAATTTAGATAATTCGAAATTAGATAACTGTTTTGACTTTAATATATTACAACATGAGTATACTTTAAATATATTAATATTTAAGGAACTTTAAACAACATAGTTTTTAAAAAATTGTTTTAGGGAACTTTAAACAATATATTTATGTCACCCATAAAACAAATTATATTTCAACAGTATAGTTATAGTAGTATTTAAGGAACTTGAAACAGCGTTGTTAATATTTACGTCCACACATAAATTTTTTGTAAGTCGAAGGTAATTAATTCCGTACTCTTTTTTTTTCTGTTCAATTTTTTTTTGACAAAACTGATGTCATGGATAAAACAATTAAATATTAAATAAATTAATTAAATAATATTAAATAATATGCTTTAGACAGATATAGAAGCGGATAATCCTCTCATGCCAAACAACGCGATTTCAAAATTGACTCAAATCCAGCAATCCTATCTAATATTTTATTAAAATAAATATAAATATTAAATAAAATGCTTTAAACATAAAATAGATAGGGAATTAGATAATAAATTTTGAATCTGCCTTTTTTTTAGTATATATAGACTTTACGTAAAATTTTTGACTTCACTAATTTTATGGGATTTGGTTTGACTAAATCGATGTTATTATGGAATAAGACAAATAAATAAAGCCTTTTTTATTTTAGTAAAGATTTTACGTATTTTTTTTACTTATCGGATGTTATGGGATTTTTCTTTCTTAAACCGATTTTATGGGATATAAGACAAATAAATAAAATAAGTAAATAAAAATTTGAATAGAAATAACAATGCATTAATTACGTTGATTTTTCAACATACTAAGTTTGGTAAATAAGATACCTTATTATATAAATATAGATTGGATTATGATTGACACAAAGTTAAAAAGCTAAATAGAATTGATAGGAAATCTATAAAAATTTAAATTCTAAAGAGCTAAAAATGTTGAAATCAGTTTTATGAGATATGAATGATTTGATGAACTTACAGGCATTTTTAATGGGATATCAAATTGAACAGTCTTTCTAACATAATTAATGGATTTTGATTTCAACAAAAATAAGGTGAGGATTTTAATTTGTTGGAAACTGATATTTTTAAAAGTTGAACGTTTAAAATAATTCTATCGTTTCGGAAAAAAAAAAGAACGTTTAAAATAATTAATTGTACCAAAATTAAGCAATTTTGTTATCAAAATATAAGGATCCTAATAGATAGATATCTCATATTTTTAAACTTCATTAGCACGTGTCTTTAAACAAACAAATCAAATCTATAATAGCTAAAAAAAGGAATCAAAATATTTGCAAACAAATAAAACTGATTGGTGAAATTAATTAGTACACATTTTAATCATCTTACTTTAATTAGCAAGTCAACATTTTATTTTTTTAGTCAAAACTTACTATTTCAATATTTTTCCAACAACCTCTTTATATTACTATAGATATTATTCATATAAAAAAATAACACAAACCAATTATTCTTACACATCACATCAACTTTAATTCACTATTCATCCACTCACATAATTTTAGTTACCTATCATTTCCAATCATTTATTTCCTACTTTACATCAAATTAATTTTAATCATTTTATTTTAAATATTATTTTAATACATTATTAAAATTTCACTAACAACTAACTATATCACCTTTTCCAAAATTAACTATGGTTAACCAAAATAACTCATTTTGAACAAATTATTTAATAAACATTCAAGCCCTGAATTATTTTGAGTATTATTGATAACTTTAGAGGATACAATTACTGTCTTTTGACAATGTTTGTGTCTTGTAAAAATATAGTCGAATAATATTTTTCTCATATTGCACCAAGAGGCAAAAGAACATAAAAACTAAAGTAAAACCAATAATTAAATAAATATATCTTGATTTTGGTTAATTATAAGAAGTCATTGTAGCAAAGATGTAGGGTAAATTGCGCCAAACTCCCCTGTATTATACGAAATCTGCGCGTTTTCCCCCTGTATTTTAAAAATTGCGCCATACCCCCTTGTAATATACTTTTACATGCACGA